GCTTTAGCCCTGCACCAGACCTGTCCATGTTCTACAACCGCTGCGTGGCCTTGGTCCTTGTTCTGTAGCTTAGGTCCTGGAGCTGGCAATTAAGTACGCCTTTGCTAGGGTCTTTTTTCCCCCCTAACTTCAAAGGATGCAGAGTGAAATAGGAATGACATACATTATTCTAGTGTATATTCTACATAAACTAAAAGCAGTGTTGTGCGTGAACGAGTTCAAAAGAACACGTTCATTGAACACGCTCATTTTTTTTTTACGTTGAACTGAACGCAACACATTTTAAAAAAAAAGAACTTGAACGTGAATTAGTTCATTTTATGTGTCATGAACGGCAGACATCACTATGAACGTTGGAATCTGTTTTCTCTTTTGAAACGCAACGAGAGAAAGTTCCTCCCTCCTGTATTCTCGCACTTTTTCCGCCGAAACCTAAAGATTCCTACGGTTTCCACCGTCTGTGAACGCACCCCGACTCCGTGTTGCGGTGCGGCGCTGAGAGCTGGTGCTTTTCACATGTGCCCGAGTCGTGATGAAAACACAGGGTGAGTTAGCGACAAAGTTTACACCGTTTACATTTGACATAAAGTATAGACACACGCACTGCAGCGCATTACTGTCTGTAGTTTATGAGCAGAGATGGAGCCACTCCGATTTGCTCCCATTGAAAACCATGTAAATCTTGTCTGTTTTGTAGTCAAAAGGCTCTCCTCCTGTGGGTGTACAGGATATATATATATGTGTAAAATATATTTTACACATACATATATATATATATATATATATTATATATATATATATATATGTGTGTAATATATATATATATATAATATAATATAATATATATCCATCCATCCATCTTCTACCCTTTAATCCATTTCTGGGTCAGGGGGGTGGCAATCAGAGATGCCACCCAAGTCTCATAGCACCAGCCCCTCACTGACCCTCTGCAGGTGGTGAGTCCACAGGAGGACGGCTGCTCTGAGTGTGAGCATAGCCTTGATCTTTCAGTGGGGGCTTTGGGCAAAGTGGGGTTAAGTGTCTTGCCCAAGGACACAACGACAGCAGTCATCAGTGGGAGTCGGTGGAGAAGGTGCAGAGGTGGGAATTGAACCCACAACCTTCTGGCCTTAAGGCCAATGCTCTACCAACTGAGCTACTGTCGCCCCAGTGTAATATAATATATATGTGTAATATAATTATATAATATATATATATATATATATATATAATATAATATAATATATATGTGTAATATAATATATATATATATATAAATAATATATATATATATATATATATATATCTCGTAGTGTGAAAAAAAAATATATAGTATAGTATCTCACTGAACTTTGAACTAGTTCAGAAAAGCTGTGAACTGGCACAACACTGACTAAAAGGCTCTAGCTTTAAAATGATGCATCACACAAGCATGTAATGTGTAAATTGTATTTTTAGATATGAAAAGACATTTTGAGGTGGATGTTAACGGGGGTCAAACACAAGGCCTGTGGGCCAAATGATTTTTGACAGCACGAATATACACACACAGCTATAGGTATTGAAGATTGTACAAAGTACACATACATGTGCCACAAAATGTGCAGTATGTTCCTGTGTAGTGTGGCTCTTGTCTATTTTGTCGGTGCACACGCTTGTGGACGCTTTCAGTTCTTTTTTCTGAGGATGTGCTGTGCTGTCAAAATGCACAGAGCAGCAGTTGCGCTTGGAGATGTGATCTGACCGGTGTGTAAACGTCAATGACCCACTTGTACTTGAGGACAAACACATACATCCGACTGTTGCTGCTGTATAGCAGTCCTCTGCCTGTCCTGTTCTCTACACTTCACAATGACAGCAACAGCACTTTAGTGTTTGCGTTGATCTCGCAATCAAATAAATGACGTTGCTAAAATGGGTGTATGTTAATTGCGTTATTAACACGTTTAACTGACAGCACTAATTTTTATATATATATATATATATATATATATATATATATATATATATACACACACACAAAAAATTCACCAGTTCTTTTTTTTTCCTGCTCTATACGTTGCCAGGTCGTGGGGGACAGCAGTCCAAGTAGACCTTCCTCTCCACAGTTCCTCCAGTTCCCAGGCCAGAGACATGGTGTCTAGGTTTCCCCTGGGTTCTCTTCCAAGTGGGACATGCCCAGAACACCATGGGGCTCCTCGCCCTATCTCTAAGGGAATGCCCAGCCACACTGCCAAGGAAACTTAACCCATAAAAGTGAAATAAGCCAGGAAATGCAGTGGCAAAATAAATTCGTAATTTAAACTATAAGCACTTGAATGACATTTGGGAAGTCATATCATTTTGCACCAGCAGGATAGTAGCATGTTTTGCATCGTCTCACATAATACTGGCTGATGTTACTTTATTCGCTTCACCTGCGGTTTGACGCAGTGTTTCCTCATATTTACGCAATATCGCTGCGGACTCCGAGAGTTTAAAGCTCTTTTTTTAAGGATTGGGGAGTATTTAGTCAATATTGTCTAAATCCCTTAAAGACACCCTGTGTATTTTTTACAGCTGCTCAATATGAAAGTAACATGTTAACTAATAACAAACTTGACCTTTTTAAGAATATTTACATCCATTATGTTTTTTTAATTGTATTCAATGGCTTAGAATTTCACTCATAAATGTCCATGAGAGCTGAGAGCTCTCCGTGTCAATGCGGCATCTTGAAAAACGGCGGTGGATAAGGGACAAAAAGGATGCGAGAATTGCGTTTTCGTTTCACATGAGCCACTGATATTGTTGCTTTCACTGTGCCTTCACAAGTTGGAAGAAGGAACCATTGAGGACCAGTTATATAAAAGAACCATGGAGGACCACAGTTATGTAAAAGAACAATCCGGACAACAATCTTTTAGAAAATTAATTATGCAAATGTTATGCAAAAGGCGTCATACAGCAAACTGTCAACATCCCAAACCACTCGCCGTGAAAAACAGCGTTAACACAACAGGAGGCACTTTGTGTAGTTTGTACACAACACACGTTTTTACACTGACAATAATGAGAACGAGGCAGACTCTACAACAGTCTCAGGATGTTCTGACCTGATCCGAGCGAAGTCAAACTACTATGTTACAAGTTTCAATTAAACTTATTCAGGGAAAAAGCCTCAAATAAAACACACATAACCCCCACAAAACAATCGCCAGAATACTTCAGCAGTGTGAGTGAATATTCTGTTTTCTTACCATGACGCAGTTAGAGCGCTGTGGCTAATGCTAACATGAGCTTTTAGCCATGTCCTGCCGCGGCTCTGTTTATCTCCTGCTTCTTTGATCCTCGTAGTTTTAAGCTCCCACAGACGTTATTTCTCCATGCGTTTCTTCTCTTCACACCGCATTTGTAAAACTATATATTATAATAGGTCCATGGTAAAACTCAGTGCAGGCTCTGTGCAGCGGGTGCCGTGAATGCGGTCTTGTTTACATGTCGCCTCCACATGACTGTCAAGTGCCCGAGACGTTTGGAGAGATCCGGTCATTTATCAAGCTAACTGCTCCTCAACTCAGGCTTCCGTAGTAACATGTACTGCAACATAAGATCTCAACGCTAGATGGCACTAAAAATTACACAGTGCACCTTTAAGAAAGTTTTGTTTTATTTGTCCACTTGAGCAATAATGTGTTTTTAATGTGTTATCAGATTGGTATCAGTAACGGCACCACCTACATGGCTGAGTGTTGAATCCCCCCAAAAATGCATTGGAACATTGTTAATTTTGAATGATATAATTGGACTAAGAAGTATATAAGCGATCTAAGCTTACATCTCCATAAACCTGACTACTTGAACTGGTTCTAGAAAAGAGTCTCCTTCTCGGTTTGACTTAAATGTTTCTTTGGCTATAAACTTCAACATTATGAAACTCATTTTTGTCCATGTAGAATTATCTGCAAGATGGGAATCATCTAGTAATGCTAAACATCTAAAAGTCTTGGAGTTTTGAATGTGATATCTGAACATAATAAAACATTGTACAAAATTGATTTTTAAAGAGTTGTACTTCTAGCATACTTTTATTTTGTTGTCACAATTGCTCTGACAATCCCCATTTTCTCGACCACTGGAAAATGTCCACTGTTCATTCTCCATTTATTTTCTTAAACTCTCTTCTTAAAAATGATGGGGCCTTAAGCAGACATTGGTCATGTCAAGCATACGCTTTGCCTTGGATTAAAAATACCTGCTACTGCTGCCTGTGCCTATAGCAGCACTTTGTTTTTTTGAGGTTTGCAGAAACGTAAAGAGACACAGATAAAGTTTTAAATTTATGAAAATATATAATTTGATTCATGTGGCAGATTATCAGAACAAAGTCTTCTTTAACCTAGATATGAATGCCCATAGATTACAAAACTAAATCATCATCATCATTCAGATCTATATTATGTGAATATGAAGTGTTTTTTATAGCCTGTGCTCATTTCCAGCCCACACATACGCCCTCTCATGTGGTTGGCCTTTGACTGAAGTCCAGACAGAGCGCTTGTTGTGGCTCCACTTTGATGTGCCTCACCACATACAATACCAGAACAGAGACATAACTGATTATTCACCGACTTTACAACCTCACATACAAAAGGAACAGGTGGGGGAATAAAGCTCATATTACAGCATTTGACAAGTATTGTTCAATTTCGCCAACCACTAGAGCTGTATGAAAAAGTTTAATATCAATGATATATTTTAGTGGCCAAATAAGTGTATAACGTAATATTTCGATAGAATTGTGGGTAATTTTACAGTCGAGCTCTTCGCTGTAAAATTGCTCTCTATGTTTTGCCCTGATTTATAATCATCAACCACAGCTAAAATGCAGTACATTTATTTACGTGACCTGCATATATATACATACACACGCTAGTAAATGTTTACAGCCTGGTTTTTACTTTAAACATGGTGCTTAAAATGACGAATCGATTTGCATGAGCAATCCAACATTACGGGGACTAAGATTGTGACACCTGTTGTGGCTTTGCTCTGGTGGGCTTTGGGGAGCGCAGTGTTCAGGGGAAAGGTTGCACGTAAACATGTGAAAAGTAGAGTATAGTAAGTTACCTGGCCCATGTTCCTGTAGCCGTACTTTTCTGCTATCCAGTGGGCCATCTCTTCTCCCCCTGCTATCCTCACAGCCCAGTGGTTGGTGTAAATCCGAGCTTTACATGGCGATGACACGAAGCCCAGACACACCGCCAGGACGCACAGTAAGCTCCTTCCCCAGGCGCCGTGGCGAACCATCTTCCCCCGCGACTTCTACAGGCACTCAGCGCCTCCAGTGCCGCTCACGCACAAACACGCAAAGTTCCCGTCGAGACGAGCGGAGCTCTCATAGAAGAGTGTCCGCGGTGTGACGGGACAGAGCGGTCCCGTAGCCCGTGTGCGTCAGCCGTGTCAGCCTCACACCGCTGCTCTCCACATGGAGCCTGAACTTTAGTCTGTGCTCCTGGAGCCAAACCGCGCTGCTTTTCTCGGCGGAGGAGCACCGAGTGTTTGTCTGCAGCTCGCGCGAGACTGCGTGCGTGTGCGCGTGAGGACGTGCGTCCTGTCGTCAAAGCCGCTTTCCCGTATCCCGTGTCCCGCGGAGCACCGGCCTGTACCGCGGATAATGTCTCCAGCCCCGGCAGCGCCTCCGCACCAATAACTAGAAACAGTCCGAGTCCAGAAACTGAAGCCCGGGCTCGGAGCACGGCTGCGCTGGGTCCTAAACACCTCCACCCACGGCACGAGGGTCAAACCGGGAGACTGATCACGTTTCGGATGAGAAGGGCTGTTGTGTTGGTGATATCGGTATCCGAGAACTAATCATGGGGAATCTGCAGCTCAAATCTGATAGTCTTCCTCAAAATATGAGATAGCCCTCTGCTCTGATGTTTAAATTCATAGATTATTAAAATAGTTTTGAAAATGATTCTTCATTAACAACATTTGCAACATTTTGTTGTTAGCCCAGACTTGACCTTTTTAATGCCATATTAACCTGAAAAACGAACTTGGCAGTTAATAGAAGTTCAGAGTATACGTTTAAATAATAAAAGGGAAAAGGACAGTCATGGAAGTAAGTATTGACTTTACTTATACTTAACCTCCATTCTAAAAGGTCAGAATCAAGCGTTGGCAATAGGCCTTATCAAAAGATCCCTTCAGGGCCTGGGCCCAATATCACATGACACTGAAGAATATCTAATGGTTTTCCTCTTACATTTAGACTAAATAACACAATCGTACAAGTTTAAAGGGTCTGTGTTGTTTGCACTCTAACTGGGTTTAAAAGGTCAGTTTTTATAGGCGTCTGAAGACTGGGGCAGAGAAAAACTCCTGGAATCAAGAGGTTGTTTTAAAACTGAACAAAATAGTGTATTCTGCAATTTCCTTCTCACACTGACACACAACACCACAGCAATGCGGGACTGCAAGTCCCGGGACCACCTTGCTTATTGCAAACATCACCATTACAATCACAATTCAAATGTTGTTGCCAGAATCTTACTGCTTTTGACGCAGATGGAGCTCTTACACAAACCACCTGCTGGGAAACGGGTATCCCTAATGATAACCTCATTCTCCTTTCTGATTGGAAAATCTGGTTGGGAATCTTAAACATAAATATCATATTCATCTTATATTTCATTAGAAGTAACTTTTGTTCACAAAAGGCCAAGAAAGATTTCTACATATTGATATATCATCGAAGAACCCAAATAAAAGATGTAGAACATCTTTCTTGTTTTGTGGGCAACCTGTGGGGCCCCAGACCCCACTTTGAGTAGCACTGTTCTCGGTCATAAAAAGATGAGAAATTAGTAGATACTCTCTTCATCGCATAGTGGGGAAATTTCAGTGTTGCAACAGGAGTTACAGAACAGTAGGAAGGAGGAGCACACATTACAAGATAAATTAATATGATTAATGGAAAAAATGAAATACGATAAAATCAAGAAGCAAAGCATAATCCTGTATACTCAAAGTGCAACATATAACATTGATTCAGATGAACACCCAGGTACCTGTAAGAGTCCACCCTCTCATGTCCCTTCCCTGGATGTTCACTGGGGCTGGAGCAGCAGAGTGACGTCTGCAGAAATCCACCACCATCTCCTTGGTCTTCCCCGTGTTGATGAGGAGGTGGTTCCGCTGACACCAGTCCACAAAGTCCAGTGTTAGTCTTCTATATGTTGCGTTTTCGTCCTCAGAGTCGTCAGACAACTTCTGTAGGGCACAACCGTCTGTGTTGTGCCGGTCAGGACCTCAGACACGCAGTGCCTGGTTCTCACATACTGCCTGTCATTGGTAGTTCAGGATCTAGCGTGCCTTGGAGAGGGGAGATGATGGCGTCCCCCACACACATGTCCAGCCTGTAGGCAAATTGCAGCGGGTCCAATGCTACTTTCACCGTGGAGTGGAAATGTCTTCATCAAGTGGGATGTCAAAGCCACCGGCTGCTGAGGTCTTTGGCACTGGTACCACACAGGAGGTCTTCCAGATCTGTGGTACCAACCTCAGCCTGAGGCTCAGGTTCAAGACATGCTCAACTATCTAAGTGACTGAAAGAATGTAATTTCACTTGAGAAATTGCATTCCATTGGCAGTGCTTTTGTTTTAAAAGGCAGAAAACTGTTCTGAGCATGATGTCATAGTAGTACATGTCAAGAGCTTTAACACAGAAGGGGCGGAGTTTAATGTCTGTGCCAGAAGTTCTTCATAATACTACGGAATGATCTAAAAACAACTCCAGGTCTGTTTTGCAAAAAATTACAATTTGCAAATGTCTAAATCTGCAGTCATTCAAAGTCGTCCTTGAAAAGTGTACCCCCGGTTGTGAAACGCTGCATTAGACTACTACAGGCTTGTGGTGTTTTTCCCGGTAAGCGAGCGGAAGCATTGCACTTAGAGCCTCTCAGCCGTCACACTTTAAAGAGCTAGCCTGAATAAGGGCCTTGTCTGCAGCTGCTGCTATTGACACATACCAATGTAAAGTAAACTCGCACATTCTCCTTATATGTGCACCATGTCCAATTTTATTTTCTACATACCAATTGACGCACATTACGTTCTTAAAGCCTTTGGTTGCTGGGGTTGCTTGACATTATCTTTATCTTCTAAAGCATTTTATATTTTGCGATCTAGATGTGACAGAGATTAAAATACTTGCGTAACAACTAGTGATAGAACTAAAGTATTTGAAGAGCAAAGGAACTAGTAAGTTGGATTTGTATTACATAGTTCAATTTTTTATTGTTAAGTTAGGTACCCCAGATATAATTTATAAAATGTCTGGTTTATCATCTCAGATACACGTAAAGATGTCGTTATTTATTCATTCACGATTGATTTAAATATACTACTGATCTATGGGTGTCAAGATGATTGCAGAGAAACCCACTACTGTGGAACCCTGTTATCTGAAGAACTGACCATTTCTGTTCTGACCCACATTGTTTCTAGTATCTATTAATATCTCAAGTGATTGATGTCTCTATTCTTTATACACATTGATACAAATCATATAAAAAGCGTTGTCCTCTTTTGTTCAATCTGGAAGGACTCGTAAATACACTGAGTTACAGGTGCGATTGCTGCTACCCCTGCAAATATTGCATTACATTAAATCAAATGAAAATGGCAACAAAAGATCCCAAAACAAACAAGCAGGTCCATTCTTATGCAGTAGTTAGTGTCACAGTCATTTCACAATTTGTTCAAAGCTCGAATCTCAACATTATACAGGCATGTTTGAACACACTTTTGTTTGTGTCTTCTGTCCGTGTGTGAGTAAACATGTCCTTGTGAGTCCTGGCTCAGCTGAGAGCACTGCAGCTTATGGAATGTGGCTCAGTCTTTTGTGGATGATTGATGGGTCAGTGTTCTCTGTGCACAGCCTGCACTCTGTTCAGAGGGACACACTAAAATCACCATAATTGCACTAATTGAGGCCAATTTGTGAGTGAATGGCCCCACTGTCACACCTCACAATAAGCAGCAGCCATCTCCAGCACCATACAGACACATGCTCTCAGCCTGAAAACATTACGTACTGCAAAGTCTGAAGTCTAATTTCAATATTAGCCGATGAAAGGACTAATATTTTGTCCATAATAACAATAATAATAATAATTATTATTATTATTGCTATTATCTCAATTAGCACTTTGGGAACTGTTGAAAAGTTGATTACAAATAATACAAAACATCATACTATATCATTAACCTGTTAATGAGACACCACCACCACAAAACCTTAGTGCAATCCTTTTAAGCTATCCTACAATCATATTAGAATACTTTGAAAGACACCTTGAAGCTGAGATGAATCGCAAACGCAGCATAAAGTGATTCTGGGGGCAAATCGCGCACACAGGTCACGGTGGCCTTGAGCGCCGCCGGGCCCCCACTCTCTATTCAGGAGCGCATTTGCCATATCCTGCCTCGCAGATGCCCCAGGCTCAGGGATAAACCCAGTGAACCCCAACAAAACGTCTTTGTCACCAGTCGCAGCTCAAGTGTGAGGGGCCCTAAACAACGGAGCCACAAACTGCATATCAACAAAACAAGTTCACAGCCTGTCAACACCACCAGCATTTTACTTTTCAACAACTGAGATGTGGTTAGATTGTGCAGTGTGTAAACAGAAGGGTCCCTTTGACAAACGTTTTGAAAATTAGATTTTGAAAAAATATTCTAAAACTCATTTGAGCAAGTGCTGTAATGAGAGTAATCTACAGTTTATATATAGCACTTTAGACAATCAAAGATGATTGTCTTAAGATGCATTGATTATTCACTCCGCACACAATGGTGATAAACTACAACTGTTCCCATAGTTGCCCTGGGGCAGACTGAGGGTCAGAGTTAATCGATTAATTATTTTTTTAACACAAAGATTTAAGTTTTATGTCTCCAGAGAGTGCAGAATGATCTAACAACTAGGGATGCACCAATACCACTTTTTAAAAAACCAATACGAGTACCTTAATTTCAGTACTTGCTGATACCAAGTAGCGATAAAAGTACTGCACATAGAAACACAATACAGTATGTGTTTACAGTCTGAGTGGTATATGACAGTGGCTCTTATTGTTCACTGTTAAAACAATTGCTGAAATGTCTTTTCATGTGTTCTTATTGTTGAAATGAGAAATAAAACATTTTGCATTTCTGTTGTATTAGTCTGATGAATTCCCATACATTTACAATCTGAAATGTGTCACTATGACGCAAATCGGTGAATTTGTGGACCATGCTACTGTTATCTACTGCTGTGTAAATTTTCATATTTTAATAATGTTGCAAAGTAAAGATAATAAGGACCCATGTTTAACAAAATTATATAAAGCGGGGAACCACTAAACAAAGACAAGAAATGGCAAATATAAAAGCAATGGATATTTTATAATACTTTTTGTGCATTTATGTTGAAACTGATGCAGAAGTTAGTGATTTTCCAGTTGATGTTTTGGCTATCTGAAGGTCCATGTAAATTTTTCACGTGGCAAATGCTTGGAGAAACTTTGGCCTTGTTTTAAACAAGTAGTGTTCGTATCTTCGGCCCAGAAAAAAAAAATAATAATAATTACAGTGGGGCAAAAAAGTATTTAGTCAGCCACCGATTGTGCAAGTTCTCTCACTTAAAATAATGACAGAGGTCTGTAATTTTCATCATAGGTACACTTCAACTGTGAGAGACAGAATGTGAAAAAAAAATCCACGAATTCACATTGTAGGATTTTTAAAGAATTTATTTGTAAATTATGGTGGAAAATAAGTATTTGGTCACTTCAACCAAGGAAGATCTCTGGCTCTCACAGACCTGTAACTTCTTCTTTAAGAAGCTCTTCTGTCCTCCACTCGTTACCTGTATTATTGGCACCTGTTTGAACTTATCTGTATAAAAGATACCTGTCCACAGCCTCAAATAGTCAGACTCCAAACTCCACTATGGCCAAGACCAAGAGCTGTCGAAGGACACCAGGAAAAGAATTGTAGACCTGCACCAGACTGGGAAGAGTGAATCTACAATAGGCAAGCAGCTTGGTGTGAACAAATCAACTGTGGGAGCAATTATCAGAAAATGGAAGACATACAAGACCACTGATAATCTCCCTCGATCTGGGACTCCACGCAAGATCTCATCCCGTGGGGTCAAAATGATCACAATGACGACAGGGAATCAAATCCTGCAGTGCCAGACGTGTCCCCCTGCTGAAGCCAGTGAATGTCCAGGCCCGTCTGAAGTTTGCCAGAGAGCACACGGATGATACAGCAGAGGATTGGGAGAATGTCATGTGGTCAGATAAAACCAAAGTAGAACTTTTTGGTATAAACTCAACTCGTCGTGTTTGGAGGAAGAAGAATACTGAGTTGCTCACCATACCTACTGTGAAGCATGGGGGTGGAAACGTCATGCTTTGGGGCTGTTTTTCTGCTAAGGGGACAGGACAACTGATCTGTGTTAAGGAAAGAATGAATGGGGCCATGTATCGTGAGAGCTTTGAAGATGAAACGTGGCTGGGTCTTCCAGCCTGACAATGATCCCAAACACACCGCCCGGGCAACGAAGGAGTGGCTCCGTAAGAAGCATTTGAAAGTCCTGGAGTGGCCTAGCCAGTCTCCAGACCTCCACCCCATTGAAATCTGTGGAGGGAGTTGAAAGTCCGTGTTCACTGCTCTCGAGAAGATCTGCATGGAGGAATGGGCCAAAATACCAGCTACTGTGTGTGCAAACCTGGTAAAGACCTATGTCTTTATATGCATTCAGTGTCATGCATTTTACCAGCCTGATGGTGTCAAAAATGGAGATTCCAGCTGAGTCAGAGAGCACAAAGTAAGAGAGCACTTCCTGTGATGACAGATGTTTGTTGCCATAATATAAATCAAATCAAATTTGTTTTGATGAACAACACAACCTATAGTAATCGTTTGACCTCTGTTATTGCCAACAAAGGTTATATTACCAAGTATTGAGTTGAATTTTTGTTATTGACCAAATACTTATTTTCCACCATAATTTACAAATAAATTCTTTAAAAATCCTACAATGTGAATTTGTGGATTTTTTTTTCACATTCTGTCTCTCACAGTTTAAGTGTCCCTATGATGAAAATTACAGACCTCTGTCATTATGTTAATTGGGAGAACTTGCACAATCGGTGGCTGACTAAACACTTTTTTGCCCCACTGTATACCTTGCGAAAGTATTCGGCCCCCTTGAACCTTTCAACATTTCGCCACATTTCAGGCTTCAAACATAAAGATATAAAAAATGTTGTCATGAATCAACAACAAGTGGGACACAATCGTGAAGTGGAACGAAATTTATTGGATAATTTAAACTTTTTTAACAAATAAAAAACTGAAAAGTGGGGCGTGCAATATTATTCGGCCCCTTTACTTTCAGTGCAGCAAACTCACTCCAGACGTTCAGTGAGGATCTTTGAATTATCCAATGTTGTCCTAAATGACTGATGATGATAAATAGAATGCACCTGTGTGTAATCAAGTCTCCGTATCATTTATACGGAGACTGCTCTTTGATAGTCTCAGGGTTCTGTTTAAAGCGCAGAGAGAACCATGAAGACAAAGGAACACACCAGGCAGGTCCGAGATACTGTTGTGGAGAAGTTTGAAGCCGGATTTGGATACAAAAAGATTTCCCAAGCTTTAAACATCTCAAGGAGCACTGTGCAAGCAATTATACTGAAATGGAAGGAGTATCAGACCACTGCAAATCTACCAAGACCCGGCCGTCCCTCCAAACTTTCATCTCAAACAAGGAGAAGACTGATCAGAGATGCAGCCAAGAGGCCCATGATCACTCTGGATGAACTGCAGATAA